GTGTAGGGCTGGCCATGCTTGTGTGCTGCAGCAATGTGTGCATTTCTGCAGCACATGGCACTGCACCTTCTCTATAAAAAAAAAAAAAATGTTTCATCTGTTGTGCTGTGTTGGCAGCCCATTCATAATGAATCGCCTGACTTAATACAACGTGATTTAACGCACGTGCATTAAAGCAACAGAATGCGAGTGAGAGCCAGCCCTAAATGTGTCATACAAGTCCTATACACATGGGGCTGCATTTAGTAAAGCCTAAATACATGGTAAGTGTGATTCTAAGCAGCATTAAGCAACTGTTTCTGCCTGCATCAAACTGTGTTGTTGGCGTTCAGCACTAAGCCTTTGAATATGTTCATGCTTTTAAAAGGGCTGATTTACATGTCCTTTTAGGCCTAATATGATGATAAATAGTCCATATATGGGGAGCAAATGACTCTCCATCTGCTCACGATGATCTTATTTTCAAATAGATGGGGTAAAAAAAAATTCTGTGTACACACACACACACACACACACACACACACACACACACACACACTTTTTTTCCCCTTGCAAACACACAGCTTTGAACAAAAATAAAAGCATTCTTTTAAAGTCTCCATACTTCCCTTCTCTGGCCTTTAATTTTCTAGATGAGGTCCAGCTGGTCCTATGCTCTCTATGACATCGCTTGTCCGATATCTTAGGTTGATTACACTCTGCTCCCTGCTGCTCTTGAACAGCAATAGCCTTGATTTCTGCTCTTGTATTATTACAGCAATTAGTCCCTGTGCATGGAAGAGTCCGCTTCTATACTCTAGCCAATTAGAGGTGCCGACCATCATATTTTTTTCCTTTTTAATGTGTATATTTGCATTCATTGCAATACAACAACACATGTTTTAACCATTTCTATGTTTTAACCATTTCTCCAGGCAACTCGCATTTTAAACTCCTAGTCAAAAGTCATGAATTTTGGTTTTTCAGCCAGTGTATTTGAAATCTTTCTTTCGTATTAATTCACTTAATGCCATTTTAAAGCTGAAGGAATGTAGTGCCTGCTATAGAAGCTGGTGGAAAAGAGGGATCATGTACTTATTTGCACTAATGGGAAGAAGACTACCCAGAGAAATACTATTAAACTTGCCACAAGCATGGGGCCATTATACTTTACATGTAATGAAATCTTACATGAGCGGAGGTTACCTTCATTAAACACCACATGTCAAAATGATAAGTAGGTCCATATTCTGAAAATGGCCCCACCTACTGAGCCATTGGTCAGTGAGGCCACCCTTTACACCCTTTAAGGAGCAACATAGACTGGTGAGGGCTAGATCAGGTTTTAGTTTTTATATGTAAAATTTTAAATCTGCCTGTATTTCTACTTCTGACCATTGGTTATAACTGCCCAGGCTTATGACAGGTTTAGTTAAGTAGATAATTTCCTCATACACTGTATTTATCTGGTTTTCAGTGGTTCAGCATTAAACTTTTGTAGAACTATGGTTTTCATTTTTTTTTGGTGTGTGTTATTAGCAAATACTGTATCTATTTTCTTTCTTGCGCAAAAAAAACGGCACCTGGAATCTGTTATGTGCAACACAGACCCTTAAATAAAATCAGAGGATCTAGGCTTACATGTGGGCTATTTGGCATGTTCATTCTTTGTGATGCACTAGTCACAATAGCTTTTGACTGATCACAAGTCCCGGTAATCTATGTAGAACACGGTAATCCAATTTTGCTAGTGCCCGCTCACACCTAGGCCCTGTTCACATCTCAGTCTTTTATTTCAAGCAGAAAAATGCCTGTCACTGGAAAAGGTACATGAGCTACTTTTTGGCAGATTACAGTGCTTTTTTGGGCCATAGAGTTGAATGGGAATCTTTGTGTGACAAAGCACACGCTTCAAATGTGAATTTCCAGGCATTTCCCATAAAATTCTATGGGACCAAAAAGTAGCTCATGTACTTCTTTTTTCCCCCCCAGTGACAGGTGTTTTTCTGCTTGCAAGAACATGCTCAGTTGTAAACAGGGGCCATAGAAATGAATTCAATTCCTTGTCTTGAGCGTTTTGTCATGCTTAGCTTTTGAGCGTCAAAATACCTAGGTGGGAATGGGAGCGAAGTGATTCTATAATGAGCGTATGCACTATTTATTCCATCTAATTTTATTTCATCAATTATTTTTTAGATTTATGAACATATCTCATCCTGGAATTCCAATCTTGCTGCATAGCGCTCCTTAGGAGCAGTTGCGGCACAACACTGTAAACGCACTGCTTCTACATTGTGTTTACATTTAAAGTGAAGTGACATAACAGCACTTCTGCTTATTACAAAGCTTGGGACAAAAACCATTGCAGCTCTTTCCATCATCTCCCTGCAGTAAAAAAATCAATGCTATAGTGATCATACTCATTCAGTTCTGTGTATAAAGGAAGAAGGCAAACTTAGCCGCCAAGTACAACACTTGCCAAAAAAACTAAAAACAAAAAACGATAAAAATATTATGTTAATTGAAGCTGAAATGAGCTGTCAGACAATATTATACTACATCAAACTGACATAAAATAATGCTGATCAGCAGAAGCTGCCTAAAAAAAATAACAGTAAAGACTACCATGAAGCATATGATCCAAATGAAACCAATTAGCACCCTCTTCAAATGGAGGAACAAGAACTGACTGTCAAAACAGTTTGACAAACATAAAATAAAACTGAGAGGAACTGGTATCCCTTATCTCATTAATGGCCCAATGTAGTCAGTCTCTGGCAGCAGTGTAATTTATCCGTAGGGAAATACTCAATGACAGCGACCCATGTTCCACTTATAACAAGTGTGTACCTTTTTAACAGGAAGGCCTGAACAAGATAACCGTAAATTATGTAAGAAGCACACTGTCCCCTTAAAAGAGAACCTTCGGGTAACCTTTGTATTAGGGATGCACCAATACCAGTTTTTCGGTATCGAGTACCAATATCTATATTTCGGTACTTGCCAATACCGAGTACAGATACTGGTACTTCCTGTAGCATTGAGCCGGCTTCCCGGGCAATCAGGAAGCCATGTGGCGTGTCATTACCCACCACCCGGCTTCGTGATTGTCTGGGAAACTAACTCCATTCTGTTAGGCCGGCTAGATGCTGATTGGCCGGGAAGCCGGCTCCCCAGCCAATCTGCATTGAGGCCGGCCAATCATATATCTGATGATATGATGACACGACCCCCACCCTGCAGACACCTTATTCCCTTCACATAGATCCTTGGCAGTCATTACCCTACCAGTCCCTCGGCCAGTTGGGCAGACACCACTCTCCAAGCTCTCCTGGATCTGCCCACATCTCCTGTATGCACAGCACCCATGTGATCGGCCCTCAGCCTGCTACTGCACATGTGCAGACTGCCCAGAGCTCTCATTCATAAATCCTGTGCATGCGCAAAAGCAGGCTGAGGGCCGATCACGTGGGCGCAGGCTGAGGGCTAATCACAGGAGACGTGGGCAGATCCGGGAGAGCGGTGTCGGCCCAGCAGGCCGAAGGACTGGTACGCTAATGACTGCTGCAAAGGCTCTATGTGAGGGGAATTATTTGTCTGCAGGGTGGGGGTCGTGTCGCCATATCAGATTTGATTGGCTAGGAAGCCGGCCAATCCGCATGGAGCCAGCTTCCTGGCTGATCTATAGAGTCGACGTGACAGTTTAAATGTCACACGTCGGCTCTGATTATGAGGATGAGTGTAAATCATTCACCTCATAGTTCTCCTTTTAAATAAGATGAATCAAAAGATATGACTGACACTAAACTCAGGCGTTTAAACCTTAAAAATGCATTTAAGTACCTCAACTATTAACACAAATGCAGCTTATTTGTGCATCACTCAGCTGTTGATCCTCAAATCATCTCTGAATTTGTGCTTCTGACACTTTCCTTCTAGAGGGTGGCTACTTTTTGTTCCCAATGGTGTGTGTGTTGTAAAATGGACCGCGCTCCCATGATGGAATACAATCTCAATACAAATAGGTAAACTAAAGGTGAGATTGTAGAGGTGGCTACTTTACAACACACCCACCCCATAGGGAACAAAAGTAGTCACCACCATACAGAAGGAAGGACAGTGTCGGCAAAGATTCAGAGATGATTACACAATAATAGTTAATAGGGTGCTTGAATGTATTTTTTAAGATTTAACTCCTGAGTTTAGTGTCACTTTTAATTTGTTGCATGGGTATTGTATATTTCACTAAACAGAGCCCATTGTAACAAAAGTCTAAAGTTGGTGAATCCACTAGACCTTGCTTTGGCTGGTCAGCCTCTGGGAATATAGCTATTCCCCAACTTTGATCAGGGCTTTATTTTGTAAGCTTTTTGCAAAGGTTAGATTCTGATTAAGACAGGAAATCTTAAATATACATACATTGACCTCTGGATTGAGGATGCTTAGTGCCATGTCATAACTCTGCATGCACCACTCTTAAGTTTTTTTTATTTTATTTATTCAATAGATTGTATGACTGGGTCATGCTTTCCGTATATTGATTTACCTGGCCTATATTGACTATTCAGTATGTGATAGCCATTTTCTAATTTATATATGACTTGTGTGCAATAAATTGTTATTTGTTCTGTGCAGTAGATAGCAATACCAGATTTGAGAATAACACCACAATATTTCTTACAAAAATATACTAGTTTGGCTAATTGGCTTGTCTTCTAAATAGGAACACTGATCAGAGGGTAAAATCATAAGTATGTGGCTTTAGATTTGAGCATGGCAAGTAGTTATGTATCCTCTTATTGATGATTTACACTTTTCTGTTTTTTGTTTTTCCAGTGGAGGACTCTGATGACTACAGTTTGAACTGGGACGCCTCCCTAAACCAAACAGGTACTGCCATGCAGGACTTTTGTTGTTTGTAATTTTATATACGGTATGCATTTTTTAAAATCTATTCCCATATAGTGTATGTGTGTAAATTTGAACATTAAATACACTATCAATTCATATTGTGCAATAAAGCATTTAGCCAATCTAGGAACGGTTTATGAAGATAATTACAGCACCACTGGGAAATGGTAAATATGTTGTAGCTGACCTGTGTTTTTACAACTGTTAATAACGCTGTGACATTTTGTCTGTCCTCCACCCAGTTCATTGTTATCTGACAGTATTTCCCAGGAGCCATGTCAGTTTGCAAGTTTGTACCTATTGGGGGAGTTTTGGATTTGACAACTACTTCATAATACAGACAGTTAAGAAGTATGAATTACTCCTATGATCAATAGTGGCTGCAATATGCGGCAGCTTTCTACTATTTATTATGCATACAACTGATAAAAGCAGATCAAAACTTGCTTCCGATTACTGTCACTGGTGCTGACCTTTCACCTGGCCGTCTTTTGGGTGCTTCAGCCATCTTGATTGGCCAGGCCAGAATGAATTAACACCTGAGCATGCGCGTTAATTAATTCCGGTACTGAGCATACGCAGCTCAGTGTACATTCTAAAGATGATTTTTAAAAAGCAGGTATGTTTGTTTTATTGTACAAGATACATAGTATATCTCTTCTGCAGTAAAGAACCTGTCTACTTGCAATTTAGTTTTTTCAGTTAAGTTCCACTATAAATCGCAAATTTTGAAAAGTTTTACTTTATCCTAGTGTGTTTGCTTTGCGAACTGAGTCTATAGTATGGTTGATTTTAAAAATATTTTTGGGTCTGTAAGCTTTTTATATTAACGCATATCTAAACCCGGCAAAAAAAATGTAATATATTGCAGCTTACTAATCCTTAGAGGCGGTAGCTGCAATAACTTTCTTGTCCCGACTTTTCACCCAATGGTCCTGCCAGTAACGCACTTCTCTGTACTGTATCAATGGAGAAGCAGCATTGTCATCCTAGGACAGAAGGTTATTTAAGACAGCAGAACACTGCCGCCTCTCATCTCTATAACATTGGGGAGGGGGCGTTCTACAGTCAACAGAGACAGCTGGGAACAATGCTAAAGTAATGAAACACAATTTGACTACTCAATGTTTATGATAAGGAATTCAAACAATAAAACCCAACAGTGTAAAGATCAGATGGAAATATATTTGCCAAATCCTTTTTTTTTCTTTTCTCCAGTAATGTGACATGATTGTACATCCTCCGCACTGCACTGTGATATTGGTGGGTGCAGTAAGCATAAAAGTGCTGACTAAAACTAAACACTTTCAACAGTATTTTTCATGGACCAAAACGAAAGCAAATAAGAGAAGTTAATAGTTGGGGTTACTTAGACTTTAAAAGAGAACTGTGGGGTAAGTGTTTTTCCGCATAGTTCTCTTTAGGGTCACCGGAGGACATATACTAACATCCTCCCGTGACCAAAGCTCAGTATATCGCGGGTACCGCGATATACTGACTGCCACAGCAGGGACGGATCATGACAATACTGTTGAGATCCCCCCAGCTGCGTGAGTGACAATTGGCTCTGCCCCCTCCCCCGTCCGTTCCTCCACTCAGCGCTGGAGGATCAGAAAGAGGGGGGAAAAAACCTGTGGGGAGCAGTGACTGACGGTCACTGTTCACTGTAGGGAGACGATCAAGAAGTGAATGGATCGGCTGCATGTTTCTGCTCACTTCCCGATCAATAGAGTCGACCTTTGACAGCTTCTTTGTCACAGGTCGGCTCTAATTATGAGGATGAGTGGAAATCACTCCCCTCTTAGTTCTCCTTTTCTAAGGGCTCATTCAGGCAGGTGTACACATCCATACGACGTGCATGTTGGAAAAAGACCTGATCCTGGAAGGGCCAGGTAGTGCATGTAATATGGGAGGATGCAGCACCACGCAATTGCACACTGTCACACACACACACACCCACACCTGCACATACATACTGGTCCTGGTGTCTGCCCTTGGATGCGAACTGCCTGCGTCCAAGTGCGGACACCCTTACATGTGCAGGTTGGGGTGTACTTATGACAGTGTGTAATTGCATGCAGTTATGTCCTCCCATAGGGAAGAACAGGCTGCTGTGTGGAATTACATACAACGTGCACGCCTGTCTGAATGAGCCCTAATCTAAAAGCTTCTTCTGGATTCAGTGTAAATTCACATCAGTATTCCTTACTCTGTTTTAGACATGTGTGATTTGTTTCGGAAAGATTCGTTATTCGCACAAATTTTTTGAAATTCTGAGATTCAGATATATCCGAAACTCTGCGTGACGAATGAAAACTAATCTGAATTTCCGATAACGAAAATTTCGGAAGAAATTCGTTAGCAGTAGTCTGTACGAATTTTCCTTCCTGGATGAATCGTCGTTGCAGCAAAGTAACATTATACATAAGTTATAAATTATACAAAAGTTATTTTATAGTCTGCAGACTGTAAAAAAAAAAATATATATTTATTTATTTTCGGTAATGTCACTTTGCTGCAACAAATTGATCCTGCTATCATTTTTGTCTTTATTTGAAGAACTTGTTTTGCAAGTAATGGCTGCTGATGGAAATGGCTTTGATGTTCGGGTTTATTTGCCTAATGTGCAGTTCTTTCCTTTTTGTATTCTGTTTCTCTACCCATGTAGAGTATTTCTTTTCGCTGTCTGTTGTGCAGTCCCTCTGTGCAGGAGCTAACTGAGCATGTAAACGGTGCACTACCCTCTCTTGCGTGACCCCCCTCCCCCTTATTTATTTTTATTTTTTCTAATGTCTGGGATGTGCAAGTTCCCTTTTTATGTAGCTGCAATACTGATTTCTATTGAATTTACTATAACTAAATGCATATGTATATAATGTACCGAGAGCAGCTGCACATTCTTTGTGACTGACTTGTTCTACACGAGGTTGCTTGTAACCTACCATTCAATGATATGACACATTAAACTTAGGAAGATACTCACTGGCCACTTTATTAGGTACACCTTGCTAGTACTGGGTTGGACACCTCTTGTCTTCAGAACTGCTTTAATTCTCAGCAGCATTGATTCAACAAGGTGATAGAAACATTCCTTAGAGAGTTTGGTCCATACTGCCACGATAGCATCACACAGTTGCTGCAGATTTGTCGACTGCACATCCATGATGTTAAGCTCCACCAGCCTAAACCGTTGATGCAAGGCAGGATGGATCCATGCTTTCATGTTGTTTACATCAAATTCTGACCCTACCATCCGAATGTTGCAACAGAAATCGAAACTCCTCAGACCAGGTAACATTTTTCCAATCTTTTATTTTACAATTTTGGTGAGCCCTTGCAAACTGTAGCCTCAGTTTCCTGTTCTCAGCTGACTAAAGTGGCACTCGGTGTGGTCTTCTGTGGCTGTAGCCCATCTGTTTCACGTCTTGTGTGTTCGGAGATGCTCTTCTGCATACCTTCGATGTAACAAGTGGTTATTTGAGTTACTGTTGCCTTTCGATCAGCTTGAACCAGTCTGGCCATTCTCCTCTGGCATCAATAAGGTGGTATTGCCCAGAGAGCTGCTGCTCACTGGATATTTTCTCTTTTTCAGACCATTCTCTGTAAACCCGAGAGATGGTTGTGTATGAAAATCTCAGTAGATTGCTGAAATACTCAAACCAGCCCGTCATGTTCTTGTTCAGTCACTTAAACCACCTTTCTTCCCCGTTGGTGGTAAGTGAAGGTAAATCTCCCCAATGGGACACAGTCTGCAGAAGAGTGACCTGGGTTATAACCCTCACTTTTTCAAAACTAAAAAAAAAAGATTTTTTCCTTGAGTTCTACTTGAATCATTCGGAAACTATATACTGTAAATAAGCATACACTTGGATACATACACCATGTTCATCACTGTGTGTGAGGATCTGTGCAGATTTCAAAATGTGAAATGTCTAAAACAGATCAGCCCCCTGCAGTAGCCTTTATTGTATATTTCCACTTTTGCAGACACATTTGAGGAACCCTTTTATATGCAGAGGTGTAGCAAGGTCACGCAGTGCCCGGGGACAGGCCTTTCATTAGCGCCCCCCCGCCCCCGTACAAACCAAACCATAGTTCATCCGTGATATGCACGATCTATGCAGTCTGAAGGATGGAGCAGCACAGACTGAGGGAAGGAGGGTCCGGTGAAATGCAATGTCGGCGTTTGCCAGGGCCCCCTAAGTGGTGCCTGCCCCAACCTACATCACCTTCATCTCAAAATAACACCCAAACCATCCTCTCCGCTCCTCTCAAGACCTCCTGCTCTCTAATTACCTCTTCCCATGCTCGCCTCTAGGACTTCTCCAGAGTCCCCTATCCTCTGGAACTCCTTACCCCAATCTGTCAGCCTATCTCCTGCACTGCCCACTTTTAGGCGATCCTTAAAATTCCATCTCTTCAGGGAAGCCTATCTCGTCTCAACATAACTGCCCTTCTACTTCTTCCAATAACTCAATCTAAACAATTGTAAGCTCTCACGAGCAGGGCCTCCTAACTCTATTGTATTGTATATTGTATTGTATATTGTATTGTATTGTAAGTAACTGTACTGTCTCTCCTCCATTTTGTAAAGCGCTGCGCAAATTATTGGCACTATGTAAATCCTGAACAACAATAATAATAATAACACCAGTGCAGAATACCATCTATAGAAGACTACAAACCCCAGCAATACATTATACAGGTATGCGGAACACCATCTACAGAGGACTATAAATCTCAGCGATACCTTAAACAGAAATGCAGAACACCATAATCTATAGAGGACTGGTGCTGGGTCCCGTACCCTGGTCCACGGTGCCAGGGGCTCACTGTTAGCACACGGACCACACCTGCTCCTCGGTATTCCTGATGGGCTGCTCCTAGGTATTCATGAAAATGTCCCCACATCCCCCTGCAAAAATTGCCCTTTTGCCAGCGGCGGACAAGACGGATGAGCAGGTTGCATACAAGTGATC